TCCGCACAGCAGTAGGCCTAGGTAAGGCCTTACAGACAGCAACCGATAGTAAGGTCACCTGCAGTAAGGGGCTTTTTTCACGTTTTGGCAAAGAAGAAAATTTGGGAATTCATTATCGGGACTCACAACTGTACTTATCGTTTGAATATAACACAAATAGAGCCAGAGAGTGGGGGAGCGTGGGTGAGCAAGCAACGCCCAGTTGCCGCAACGGCGCAGACAACGGCTAAACGAGGAAGGCACACAAAGGAATGCAAAATAATTCAGAAAAATAAACTCAATAAAATACACAAGTAATAATAGCTGCATCCATACGCGAAGTGAACGGGAAGTTAAGTAGAAGATTAAATTGAAACCCCGATGGGTTATGCAAATTTAAACACAACTCAAGAGCGCAAGAAAAAAAACACGACCGTTCACTCGGAAAGATGAAATTTTATTTATTGTAAGCAAGCGTTGATCTCATCCCGTGAAATAACGGTAAGTGTATATCTGAAATAACCTGAAAAGTCTTACAGGGCGCCGCCAAATAGTTTTTCGTTGTTTTTAATAGCCTTCAAAGTTTTGTTCAAAGCCCCAAGAGAATGTTTGCGTGCCATAGTACATTCCTCCCAGATAATAAATTTGCACTGTGGCCATGGCGCCCACGGAGGATACGGTGATCCCAATCTTAGATTCCATATATCTGGGTTGGCGGAGAGTGTGGTGAGATCATTTCCCCCGATGCCTCGTTTTTTGAGTTACTTTTCTTTGGCGAGTTCAGCTGCGACTAGCGTTAAGGCGCGTCCAGAACCACAATGTTCTGCTTATGCAGGATGTAGCATACCTTTTTGGGCTGCTGCTCTTGATCCTTTGCAAGCAAAATAAACTCAATAAAATACTCAAGTAATAATAGCTGCATCCATACGCGAAGTGAACGGGAAGTTAAGTAGAAGATTAAATTGAAACCCCGGTGGGTTATGCAAATTTAAACACAACTCAAGAGCGCAAGAAAAAAAACACGACCGTTTACTCGGAAAGATGAAATGTTATTTATTGTAAGCAAGCGTTGATCTCATCCCCTGAAATAACGGTAAGTGTAAATCTGAAATAACCTGAAAAGTCTTATAGGGCGCCGCCAAATAGTTTGTCGTTATTTTTAATAGCCTTCAAAGATTTGTTCAAAGCCCCAAGAGAATGTTTGTGTGCCATAGTACATTCCTCCCAGATAATAAATTTGCATTGTGGCCATGGCGCCCACGGAGGATCCGGTGATCCCAATCTTAGATTCCATAAATCTGGGTTGGCGGAGAGTGTGGTGAGATCATTTCCCCCGATGCCTCGTTTTTAGAGTTACTTTTCTTTGGCGAGTTCAGCTGCGACTAGCGTTAAGGCGCGTCCAAAACCACAATGTTCTGCTTATGCAGGATGTAGCATACCTTTTTGGGCTGCTGCTCTTGATCCTTTGCAAGCGGTGTTGGCAATTGGGTGAAACGCGAGCCCTTGGCTGCAATGGGCAGCCGGATGATTGGGCTCTGGCGACCGAGCAGGAGCGGTATAACTTCCACGTGCTCAGTCACGTGGAATCTCATGGCCAACGAGGGACCCCGAAAGTGCACTGGCCGTTTTTCCTCCCCAACCCTTCGTCGGTCCCAAAATGGGCGGTTCCGAGACCCGCGTCTGTGCCATAGTGGCACACCCTGTCCCGGCGGTGGCTGACTTGCCCGCCTCGGTAGGTACTGCACCAAGCCAGGAGGTTGAAAGGGCCAAGGGAGATCCTGCTGCATTCAGGAAGAGCAGCTTAATGGCCCGATTCCCACTCCTCGCGTCGTCCCCGGCGCCGACCAGAAGTGACACCGGCGATCCATCGAACTCGGCCAAGAGGCTGCACAGGGCCGTCCAACCCGGCGAGCGGTCCTAGGGGCACACCTCCTAAAAGGAGCAAAGCTGCCCTTGACACAGAAGAGCACAACAAGCGGACGCTCATGCCTACTGAGAGCGTCTCTAGGCTCGGAAAACTGCTGGACGAGCTCCACAGCCTTGTGCAAGAAAAATAGGTGCGCCACATCAACATCGCCATGAAGGCGATAATTGACGAGATGCGGAAGCTCAAATCCTGCATAGAGCCGTTGACCGATTGGCCTGAGGTGCCCAAGAAACCGGGCACTCGGGAGCGCGTCTGCGCTAAATGCGCTCAGAGCACACCAGGTGGCAAGCCTGATGTAAGTAAGGCGCAACAGACGGCTGGCGAAGGGTCAGCCAGCCAACTGACCTGGGCGCGAGTAGCGCACCGTTGTCAGAAGGAAGAGATAGACCCGCAGAGCTCGCCCCGATGCGGTGGTCGTGAAGGTACCGGGGAAAAATATAGTGAAATCCTGGAGCTAGTCTCAAGAAGGGAGGACAGCAAGTGCGTCGTACGGCCAGGGGTAACTTGCTCCTAGAGGTACCCGAATCTATGAGGGACAGCATTTCTCAGGTGCTTGGTGTCGCGGCCGAAGTGCGAGCACTGACGGAGGAGTCGAAGGTCAGCATTTTCGAGATTCGCAACCTTGATGCGATCACGAAGGAGTTCCGTACAGCCCCCTCTGATAAATACCAGCTGAGCGAAAGTGCAGTGAGGATCCGAAGCCTCCGCCCCGAGTACGGGGACATAAAAACGGCGGTCCTCAGCCTGCCAAGCTCAAAGGCGTTGGAGGTCAGGCCAGATGTAGAGAGCGGGAGCACGAGGGCCCCCTCGCTGCTTCAGTTGCCTGGAACTTGGGCACATCGCCGGGTAAGAGCTTGGTGGACAAAAGCGGCTGCTGCGTCAAGCGCGGCGAAGCGGGTCATAAGGCTGGTATCTGCAGTAAGGGCCCAATGGGCACCTTTGGCAGAGGAGCCGGCACTTAGATACTTGAAGCCGGATGTTGACGGCTATCAAATCTACAGCTGCTATCTGGCGCCTAGCCTCCCGCTGGAGACGTTCTAGGATCATGTAGGACCTAAGCTGCGACCTTCGAGAAAGGGCGAACATCATAGTTGGAAGTGACTTCACTGCTTGAGCCCAGGAGTGGGGATCGGACCAACGCCAGAGGACGAATGGTGCTGGAGGCATTTGCCGCGAATGACGTCGTCCTTCTATATGATGGGAGGCGGCTCACTTTTGTCAGAGCATGAGCTCGACCTTACATTCGCGAGCAGAGCAATTTCCTAAACGAGGCGATCCTGTGCTCTGTCAGATTACCCGAGGGAGGTACCCGCTCGGTACTGCGGGCCGCCAAAGCATACCGGCCGGACACGCTGTGCATCCGGTCTTTGACAAATGCGCTGGAAAGCATGGCAGCAGGAGAGCTGGGTGGAGCCAAAGAGATGGCGAATTAAGTTGCAGCAGCCCTGGGCGGGACCATGCGGCTGAGAGGGTCGTTTCGAGGAAGACACAGGTCAATATTCTCGTGGAGCGACGAGATCGCTATTCTAAGATTTACCTGCCTTAGAGCCCGAGGGCAGCTGACCTTAGTGCAGCGAGACCTTTAGAATTGCGAGGAAGGCCCTCAAGACGGCCATAAGAGGCGCTAAGATGGAACGTTTCCTGCAGCTCTGCGACGAGGCGGAGGACGACCACTGTCGCGGAGCGTACAGTATGGTAATCAAGCCTGAAAGCTGGCAGTGCAGCTCCATCGGACCAATAAGCTTTGGATGGTGTATTGCGAGCGCTGTTTCCGAGAGGAGCGCCGGTGACCATGGAGCCGAACGCGGACGCCCTTGAAGTCTCGGAAGAGGAGGTGATTCGTTTGGGAAGGAGCCAGCGGCGTAACGATGGCAGTCCTGATCTCGAGCAGGAAGGCGGCGGAAATGGCCGAGATCCGAATTGGAAGAGCCGTGACAAGATCGCAGAGGCTGTCATTCCGGTAACATCTGAAGTACGCCCAGAAGAAGGCCAGTGGGATGGCAGGAAGTCTCGCCCGCATACTGCTTAACAATAGAGGGACCAAGAAGATTACCAGGAAGCTGCTGACGAGCGTAGTAACTTCCCAAATTCTGTATGCGGCGCCGGTGTGGGTGGAAGCAGCCGAAACAAAGTCCTACATGCGTGGCGAAGAGACCAGATACAGCTTGCGCGCTGTCAGGGTGGCAAGCGTATTCAGTAGATTTCTATAATGCATTATTTAGACGTTATGGGCGTTTTTTTTCGTCAAAATCAGACGGAGTTTTTTAATGATAGTTTTGTTTCAACACTTATACCATTGCCTTCAATTGGATAAGTATGTCCGTCAACTTTGGATGGTGTGAAAACATATAGGGGATTTTCTACACGACTAAATGACTGTAAATATCAATTGAAATGATTATGATTGGTAATTCGATTTATTTTTTATATATTATATATGGTCAAGGATAAAGCGAATATTTATTACGATACATCTGTGATATTTTTAATAATTCAGACATTTAGTAGTATAGGAAATCCAAATCATAAATTTATTTGGAATAGTAACATAATAAACTTCATCCATTCAACGAATAATTGACGCTGTAGGGCAAAAATATGAGAATTCACAACAATAAAATAAAGATTTAAGACTAAGAATATTTATTTTTAAAATGAAAGATTCAAGTTTGCAAAATTTTTTTTTTTTAGTAAGCTATAATAACTTTTAATTTTTCAAATTTGTTCTAATATTCATTTACAAGGAATATAAACTATTATTATTGATATTGATTTTTTTAATATATTTACAATGTATTGGAAACGCTGATATATTTTTCTAAAACCGGCAGAAAGATGTCATTTATAATAAAGAGCTCATTCCGGAATTTTTCAAATGCTTATGATAAACTTTTTTTTCCATTTTTTATGAAAAAAATTAGTCTAGAAATATTGCAAAATTCCTTTTGGTTAGAAACTATTTTAGTTAGCTGCAATATCGAAAAACAATGTTATGATGATAGACTTTGTGGATAGAGGGTATTCCGTTTATATATTCATTTTTCGTATTACCGTAATGTGGTCTGTGTGATTTGTATATTTCATTACCAGTTTCATAAATTGGAAATGGGAAACATTTTTTCAAGCATTCTAAATTATTGTAAATTAGACGATATAGGCGTCGTCTTTTAAGTGTGAACTGTGAGCAAACAATTTGATAGTTAATAGACTACAATAGACTAAGCCGAAAAAATGGGAACATTGACGGATTTTGGACATATAGCCTTAAAATGGGATCCCAAAAACTTGGAAATCCGCACAATGTCTGTTGAGAAAACTCTAGAGCCCCTTGTACTGCAAGTTACAACTCTTGTAAATACTAAAGGTCCAAGCAAAAAGAAGAAAGGTAATTTTCCAGAATATATTTACATATGTAACATTCCCATTAATATTTCTCATATTTTGCTATTGTATATATGTATTCATATATAAATGTAGAAAGTTACATTTTGAGAATTAATAGTTTAAAAAAGTTTTCTTCTGCAAGCTAAAGTTTTTATATCTATTTAGCTTGAATGCTCGTCAACTTTTGACAGTGTAACAATAATGAGCTAATTGTTGAGTTTGTGGGAAAATTACATTATTTAGAAATTAGTGGATTGTCATACCTTAGAGTAGATACATACAGTGACGCACTTAACTGTTGGCACAGTTGCAAACTTGAACTTTAAGTGCTATTTCCAGGCCTATACATTATTTTATTAAATACATATTTTTTAATATATGTAGTTAAATAATTATGTTAAAAATTACCCCTTTTTTATTATGTTTCATATATTTAAAACTATATAAACTTTAAAAGAAAATGACCATATTTCGTGACACAAAAATCTTGGCACAGTTATTAGTTTTACTTGATTTATTTTAGACTTAAGGCCTTTATGTTCTTATTTTTTCTTTTAATGTAAAAAGTGTTTTTTAAGCACATGGGGCGTCACAAAGTTTAAAAAAAAAGTTACATTTATCTAAAGTTTTTCTATCATTTGCCTAAATTTTAAGAAAATGGAGAATACACAAAAGAAACAAACGTAGATCAAAGAAAAATTGTCCTTCATCTGCACAATGAAGTCAAATCGTATGGCGAAATAGCCAAAATTATGGAACTAGCTGATTTTCCATTAGGAGCCTCGTGCAACGCTACGACGGAGTCGAAAGCTTGGAGAGCGCACCTAAATCTGGGCGTCCCAAGGCTTTAAGTCACCCGGAACGCAACGCGGTGATCCGAAAGCTCAAAGTGGACTCCAAAACATCATCCTCCCAGATCATCGCTGAAGTTAAAACCTAGTTTGGGAAGGATATTCATCCGTAAAAAGTCCCCTGCACGAAACCAACTTACATTGCTGTGCTGCTAGGCGAAAGCCGTTCATATCTGATGTTAATAAAAAAGCGTTTGGTCTATGCTAAAGGGTATCTGAGCAACCCAATTGAATTTCGGGATCACGTACTATTTTCGGAAGAAACCAAATATAATATTTACCGCTCTGATGGCCGCTACCACGTATAGAGAAAACCGCATACTGAGCTGGATAAAAGTGACACGGTGGTGAGGCGTGATGGTATGAGGATGCATGTCATCCGCTGGTGTCGGTAACCTGGTGTTCATCGAGGGTATCATGGATAAAGTATATTACCTCAATATTTTAAAAGAAAACTTAAAAAAAACCCTCAAAGTTCAAAATGCAAAAGTTCTTCACATTTATGCAGGACAATGATCTGAAGCATTCCGCTTGCGATGTGAGTATGTTGCTCCTTCACTAAAGCGCACATGTACTGCCACATCCACCACAGTCACCGGACCTAAATCGGATCGAGCATTTAATATGTTATTAATTGATATTTTAAATAACAAAAAAAAAAAAAAAAGATATTAGATGAAGTGTGCCAAGACTTTTGTTTCACGAAATTTGTTGTTTTTGTTTAAATTAAAATAGTTTTAAGTAGGTTAATAAAAAAAACAAACAAATTGTGCCTTTGAATAAACAAATGTTTAATTTAACTATGTTAAGAAAAATTGATATATTAAAAAATCTGAAAAGCCTGGAAATGGCATTTAAAGTTCAACTTTATAACTGTGCCAATACTTAAGTGTGTCTCTCTATGTACAACCCTTGAAGAGTGGGAGTCATCTCCGACCATATATGGTATGTATATATACACTCCTGTTCATAATAATACACCTATAAAATTTTTGTTTCAGCGGTCGTAGGAGAATGGAAACACACAGTAGGTCAAAATAAAGTATGCCGAATAATAGCACAAGGGGTTGTGCACAAAATGCGCTATTCTTATCCTTGCTTGCATCGCTCGTTTTCAAGTAACGGTAAAAAAAGCACACACGCCTTGATTTAGGCTACCCTGAAATTGTTTCAAAATGATACGATACATTTCATTATTTTTGTTTCCAGTTAATATTTTATTGTTTTAATTGTTTATAACTAAATATTAATAGTTTATAACGGCGCCTTGTGCTTTTCCCACTTCAAAAATTCTTCTAGGCATTGAATTTATAAGGTTTTTTAAGATATTTTGGTCCAAGAGACACCATTGTCTTAAAATTTCATTTTTGGGACTTTTAACAGTCTGAAATTTGTTGTTGTTGGCCTGGCTAAGATACCCAAGATGTTTTCAATCGGGTTAAGGTTAGGACAGCAAGCCGGCCAATCCAAAACATTTATTTTATTGTCATTGAGGAACAGTTGCGTCTCTTTGCTTTTATGAATGGACGTATTATCCTGCATAAAAACATAATTTTGGTCCTTATTTTGATCCGAAAATGACAGAGGACAATCTTGTAACAAATTTTTGTAGTCTGGACTTTTAATTTCTGAGCTTGTAAAGCACAGTTCAAGCGTACCAACCGCATGACAGGTTCCCCAAGCCATAACTAATCCGCCTCCAAAATTGCATGTTAGGAACATAAGGGGATCCTTACCCAAATCAAGCAAATAGGGACGAAACCCATCTGGGCCATCAAGATTACATTTTTTCTCATCAGAAAAAATTATCCGAAATGTAAAATATTGACAAAAACCTATATAACCAAAATTGAGTTAAAATTCCATATCGAAGTCCAGTTTGTTTCCAAATTGTTCTGAACCAAACTGAAGTCGTGCTCTTTCGGGCTGCGGTTTTAATATCGTAATTTTTTTAAAAACTTCTCTTACAATATTTTCGGAGCTTAGTAATGTTCGTCAGATAGTCCTACGGGACACAGGACGACTGGAACTCGCAGCAAGTGAGGCACAGGATGAAAAAGAATTGCTTGCATTGTTAAGTACTCGACGTTTATCGCGATCAGATAGCTCCGGCTTTCTTCCAGAGCTACGCCTGACACCGTACCCATCCACATTTTTCAAAAAGTTGGTAATAACACAGCGTGTTCGACCCATCTGCCGGGATATTTGGCTAACATTAAAGCCAGACTCGTTATACGCCTTAATTTTTCCCTTCTCTTCTTCGCTTAAAAAGCTACCATGCGGCATTTTATTAAAAAATGAATAAAATATTTAACAAAATTATAAAAAAACCAATAAACCCTAAACCTTCCTCTTTAGCCGCAATAATTGAAATGTGTCGTATCATTTTGAAACAAATTCAGGGCGTGTGTGCTTTTTTTTACCGTTACTTGAAAACGAGCAATGCAAGCAAGGATAAGAATAGCACATTTTGTGCACAACTCCTTGTGCTATTATTCGGCATACTTTATTTTGATCTACTGTGTGTTTCCATTCTCCTACGACCGCTGAAACAAAAATTTCATAGGTGTCGTATAATTATGAACAGGAGTGTATTATTTATCAGCATCATCAGCCGAGTCGATCTATCCATGTCCGTCTGTCCGTTTCTACGCAAACTAGTCTCTCAGTTTTGAAGGTATCTGAATGAAACTTTGTATTTAGTCTTTTATATAGTCTCACTCGTATAACATATATCGGAACGGGCCGGATCGGACTACTATATCATATAGCTCCCATAGGAACGATCGTTAGATATAGAGGAAAAATGCAAATCTGTGAATGTAAAAGTGTAAATATAATATGTAATAATATGGAATGACAGCAGGTATTACTTCATTGTTTTTGAACATTAATATATACATATAATTTATATTATATTAATTCCTAGTCATCAAAGATCTATCTGCTAGGGTATATAAACTTTGGCGTGCCGAAGTTACCTTCCTTTCTTGTTTTAAGTTTTAATTATTCAGTAAGATGTGATTTTTTGATATACAATTGAAGAAAATCAATCCAATTGCAAATTTCAAGGGTGTATAAATTCTAATTTTAATATTTTTCCGGCAATATGACTGCATGCATTAGAAAAGGAAGGAAGGAAAAAAAGAAAAAAGTTAATTATTACCAATATTTAGGAAATAAAATAAAGAAAATAACTTTTAATTACCTTTTTTTAGGAAAATCCAAACGTGCTAGTGCCTTAGTTGCAGCCGTTGAAAAAGCTACCGAAAACTTTATCCAAAAGGGTGAACAGATTGCGTATGAAAACCCAGATATCACACAAGAAATGTTAACGGCAGTAGATGAAGTAAAAAAAACTGGAGATGCCATGAGTATTGCAGCAAGAGAATTTTCTGAAGATCCGTGCAGTTCCTTGAAGCGCGGAAATATGGTTCGAGCAGCTAGAAATTTACTATCTGCTGTAACTCGTTTGTTAATTTTAGCAGATATGGTAGATGTACATTTGCTATTGAAATCTCTTCATATTGTTGAAGATGACTTGAATAAATTGAAAAATGCATCCAGTCAAGATGAGCTTATGGATAATATGAGGGTATGCTTTCAAAATATATATTTTTAAACCCAATTATGTATATATGTATGTAATAAGTATTTAACCCCATAAAGTATGTGCTTAATGTGTACAGTTGCAAACCAAAATTATATCAACACGGCAAATGATTAAGTTCTTCAATAACAAAATTTTGGTATTGGTATATTAAATTGGTATGCTTATACCCTTGCAGGGTATTATAATTTCAACCAGAAGTTTGCAACGCAGCACCGCCCAAAAATACTTCCAGTTGGAACAGAGAGCTTAAAATTTCTGTACTTCTATATAAACCCTATAAATTAAAGAAAATTATAAAACTAAGGTATTGAAAACCATTCGTTAAAGCCCGAAAACATCAGAAAATAAATTTTAAATCCAAAATTCAAGTGCATGCTTTTAGCGTAATGAAATCCCATATTAAGAATATCTAAGTTATTTCAATTTTATTATCTTAATACAAAATAAAATAAAAATAGGTTGTTCATATACATGGTTGATTTTATAATACATTAAACTAAATTAAAATAAAACAATGAAAAAAATATATATTACGCCAAAAATTATTCTGACAAACAGGTTTTGAAAAAATAGTTTTGCATTTATTTGGTAAATTTCGCTCCCCTGCTCTGACTTTCATAACAAACAATTTATAAGGGTTGATTAGTGGCTAAACGAGACGTTTTACGTTTACGATTTAGTCGTTAATTTTTAACGACCTTGTTCTTTGACTCATTCTTCTGAGCACTCTGCTAAATTTATTTTTAGACATCCTCGATCAGATGAAGCACTGGCTTAACTTAGAGATACATATTCAAATTGTGACAACTTGTCAGAATTTTGTCCAATAACTTTTCCTTTAATTCTATGGCATTTATTCCTAAGTGCAAGAAACTTGTTGAATAAATAATCCAGTAGTTTCCTAGAAATATTTTCAATGACTTCATAACCATGAGATTGAAATCTATTTTTTAGGTCATCATAGGCTTTTTTTAGCCTTATCAGGAAATGAACTAGTTTCTGAGCAACAGACCTCAAAAATATATCATCTTTTCACTTTGCACCAATATGAATTGCATATATATATTAAGAAATAAGTTTTATCAAATTAAAAATGCAATTTAAAAATTGACATTGAGACTTTAAAGTACAAACGAATAAAGCGAACACAATAACTAGAACAAGCGGACAAGTCAAAAAAGTTGCAGCTCAAATTTAAAACATATACAAGTATTAATAAAAAGGTTTCATTGAGGAGTAATACGCGTATTACAACTATTTCTCTATCTTAAATTTATGTATACAAAAAAATACACCACTCGGCAGGGCACTGATGAGACACTAAATTTAAAACAATAACACAACATATAATGACAAAAATTACTCGGTTTTATAGTAAATACTTTTATTTTCAATATTCATTTTATTTGATAAGGTTTGAACACGATTTACACGCGTTTACTGCTACGACCGCGTGTTTACAGTGACCAATTTCAGAATTTCGTTTTTTATTTTTGGCCTATGGAATCAACAACTGTGCGCTTTAAAGAAATCAGCCAGAAGTTTGCAACGCAGTAAAAAAATCATCTCCGACCATATAAAATATATACATAAGTTAATTATAATTAATTATTTTTTTAATTAAAAAAATAATCTATTGAATTGAGTTGGATTAAGAATTAACTTTGCTTGAGCTTAACAATTATATAGGCTACGCTTTGCTCCATCGCTGTCACCGTCTCTGCTGTAGTCGTTGCCTCTGCTGACGTTCTTTGTTATTATTGGCTGCTTACGACGATTTGTAACTATTGGCCGTTTCTAATAACAATTGGTCAACGCATTGATTTCCTAATTGGCAGATGGCCTAGATAAGTTCACCTGCTAATGCATGTGCGCTGAGCTTTCATCTTTTTTGGCTAGCGATCGTTTACCCGGTTGCACTACATCCTCCTCAAAACCAGACTGTCCTCCATCGTTCGGCGGTTGTTCATTCCCTCTGCCTTCGTTTTCGTAGGAGTTCTGTGGCCACGCCTATTATTACTACTAGAAGGATGATGGTAGACACATAGCTAACAGAAGCTGATATTGTTGCGTTGCTTTCTCGAGCATTTTTCTGTTCATTTATGTACAGTTCTTTGACCATTCGAAATGAGCGAACTTCCGTAAGTTTCGTTTTTTTTTTCAGTTGTCTGTTTTTATGGATGGTTGGCTAATAATGTAAGGGAGGTCGGTACCGGTTGTGGCTGATTTGACCTTAGCAAACTCAAGTAATTCTTTACGTTAAAAAATAAGATATTTTCTTTTTTTAAAATATCTTCTACTATTGTGGTTTCTGTGGTTGTAAATACAAATGAATTGTGTTTGATTTCACTCTTGTAATTGCGTTATTATATTAGTTATTTCCTCTTTTATTAATTGTATTTTATGCTTTAGGATATTTGCTTTGTGATTTTGAATTTCTTCCGAAGTTGGTTGATTTTTTATTAAATAATCTATTGGTTACTTCTTGTATATTATTGTTTTCCAATTTTTAATTTATCTTTCGCAATCGTGATGATCTGACGTTCCTGCCAGCCATTTCCACGTAGTACCTTTTGCTTCTATTGTCCACTGTGTTTTTCGAATTTAGAGTTTGCGTAAATAGGTGTGTAGCTGTCTTAATTATTAAGAAAGATGTAGGTGTAATGGGTGATGATATGATTTTATAATGTGGGTTATTTTGCGAATTGGAATAATCGATAACCGTGGTTATCCCTAAGCATTTTTGTAAAGAGAGTCTGAGAGGTTGTTATACCTTTGCAGGGTATTATAATTTCAGTCAGAAGTTTGCAACGCACTAAAGGAGGCACCTCCGACTATATAAAGTATATATATTCTTGATCAGGATCAACAGCCAAGACGATCTAGCCATGTCCGTCTGTCCGTTTCTACGCAAACTAGTCTCTCAGTTTTGAAGTTATCTAACTTAAACTTTGTAGGTAGTCTTCTATATACTCTCACTCGTATATACATATGTCGGAGCGGGCCGGATCGGACGACTATATCATATAGCTGGAATGATCGGAAAATGTTTACAAAAAAAATTGTAACATTTTCAGTTTTCAACAGAATTTAATCAAATTAGAGATACACCTAATTCATATTATTCTACAATTTTGTGTACAATTTTATGAAAATCGGACTACTATATCATATAGCTCCCATAGAAACGATCAAGAAATTAAAACAATTAAAATTTATAATATTTTCAGTTTTCAAAAGATTTTCATCAAATTTGAGATATAGCTATTTCATATTATTCTTCAGTTTTGTGTAAAATTTTTTGAAAATCGGGCTACTTTATCATATATCTCCCATAGGAACGATCGAGAAATTAAAACATGTAAAAATTATAACGTTTTCAGTTTTCAGCAATGTAAAACTGCAAATATAATATGTATAGGTGAATGAAATGAAAGCAGGTATTACTTCATTGTTTTTTAACACAAATATATATAATTTATATTGTATCGTAGGAATTCTATCTGCAAGGGTATATAAACTTCGGCGTGCCGAAGTTAGCTTCCTTTCTTGTTTTTTATTAATTCAAACATTTGAAATCATAAAATTGTTCATATAAATTTGATGAAATTGTTAACCAGACTTTTTAAATTGCTTAAAATAGAGACCCAGATTCGCTAAATGCACTAAGAGTCTTTAAATTTTCTCCATTATGTTAATATCATGACAGTAATTAGTACCCATGAAAGTTCGATATAATAAACTTGAGCTCGCATCTTATATAAAAAGATATGGCTCCCAAAACAACAACAATATTGAACCTGCGAGAGTATGATGACGTCTAAAAAAACATTCTTTCTTTTGCATATCTTGGGAATAGTAAGAATAGCCATCCGGTCTATCGAGGTTGAAGTTATTTTCGTCAGAGAAGACCACCGTTTTCACTCCTTGCTCCACGCCACGTGTTCTCAAGTAAATCGAAGTCGTGCTTTTATACGAGAATCATTAAGAGGTGTTGATATTTTATTTACAACGTGTGTTCTTCTCTAATTTTACCAGAAAAACGGTTAGAATTTAAGACAATTCGAGGGAAAGTCACCTCTCCGATGCTGTTATTGCATTCTTCACAACGTTTCAAGTTTTTTTTTTTTAATTTTCTTAGCTATTTTAGAGTGTTTTAAGCCAGATTAAATAAAGCTTATTATTTAATCTGTTTCAAAATCAATCAAAGGTTTTTCGCGGCAAAAAAAAGTGCAAAAAGTGAGAAGGATTTTTCAAAGGTATTCAATTGAGCGTCACTGTATACTTTTTTACTCGATGTATTGTGGCAGGATAGATAACTGTAAGGCCCACTGTACCACACAACGATAGATATTAAGTTACAGAGCCCACTGTATAAAAGCAATACGCAATAGAAAAGACCCGTTAGAATTATGAGTAATATAGTCGTGCCTGTCTAACTCAAGGAATATCATTAAGATATATAATTGTATGCATAGCTCACAGAATTGAATGGAAGTAGCATAAGAAAATGGAATAAGGGGAATGGGATATTGGGTTTCTGACGCTAAAAGTAGAAAGACGTGGAACGGAAGAAATAAAGATTTATAGCACAGCGGAACAGTTATTGCCTTTTTCAGAATTTTGGATAACACGAGAATTCACTACGCCAGTACGCCTTTTTAAATTCCGTCGATATGCTTGAGAGAGTTCAGCTGAGCTTCGAGAATCGGGTATCTCAGTGCACTGAAAACGGCGGCCATCACTTGTCCGATGTAATCTTCAAAACTGTGTAATGAAAACTTCAGCATGTGTGTTACAAGAATAAAAAAATTTGCAATGGTATGTCAACTACTTTTTTTTATAACCTAAATCAGCAAGTTTTCTTGCCGCACCCTGTACCTGCTTTCATTTTATTCACTCATACAGTCGAATCCCGATAATTCGTGCCCCGCTAAATCAAAAATCGCGATAATTCGTAAAAAATTCTGTCCCCTTGAAAAAAACTCGTTAATTCGTAAAAATTCAATACAGTTTTGTCCCCTCGTTAATTCGTATTATTTGGCGCAACGCAATGAACATTAAATAAATCGTAATTTTCTTTTGTAACCTCTTATAAATTGTAATGCGATGCGAAATTTTTTGTAGTTAAAGCACCGCTAGATATTGCCGACAGCTATGCCGCCTTTATGTCGGTATGCATTATGAATTTTGTGTTTCTCTCGCTGTTTTCTTTTAGTTTGCTGATTTTTTTCGGAGAGTAACATCTTTCTGTGAAAATGTCACAAAAACAAAGCATTATTTCAGCGATTGATATTGGAACAAAGAAAATTGAGGTGGCAAAACAATTCTATGTCGTTCCGTCAACAATAACATCAATTCTACAGAAAAAAGAGTTTATAATGCAAGCCAATTTTGGAAGAAGTTTTGCCCAACAATTCTGAAAGTGACGAGGATGATGACGCCGATGGAGAAGACATTTTAACGAATGTACAAGCCAGAGCATTAATTCCTCAACTTAAACATTATTTTTCGACCCATGACGTGCCAAAAAGTGTCTTTGGCAACCTAATAGGTTTAAAAAAAGCAATGGAAAAAAAAAGAAAAAAATAACAAGCAATCAAAAACGACCAATTATTTTAAAGCTTGAATTTTTGTTTTTTATAATTTAATGTTTCTGCTTAATTGTTTAATTTTTGTTACTATAATTTTATGTTATTGTTTTATTTTCCTTTAATTTGAAAAACGTAGAAATGAATGTACATACTTATAATGTTTGTTTAATTTTAATTTAATTTAATTTTAATTAAAAACCCCGTTTCTTTCATTTTTGAGCCCCGTTAAATAGAAATCTCAATAAATGGAATTCCCGTCTAATTCGTAAAAAAAGTGATCCCCTTGCCATTTCGAATTATCGGGACTCGGATGTACATATATACATTATGCTAGCAAACCCAGCCACTTCGTTTCGCCTCCATGGCTTTGTTTTAAAGAAAAAAAATTTTTTTCTTTACAACAATTAAGTGTTTTTTAGTTATACTTCTTTAAGTAAATGAAAGTGAATCCAAAGTAAATACTGAATCGAACTGGTAAATCACAATTTTTGTTTTTTTGGTCTGACGTTAACACAAACAAAGCGGATGGTTTCCTAACTCATAAATACGCAACGTATAACTGACTTTCTAAATTTATCCCGCAAACACTAAGCAATTGGCCTTGCGACTTGTTAATTGTCATTGCGAACCCAAGGCGAACTGGAAATTGCAATCGTTTAAAGTCAAACGGAAGATAAGTCGATATCATTTGGAAACCCTGGTAACTCCAGAGAATAATAATTTACTACATTATCGGGATTTGTTATGGAATCAACGGATTTGTGTGTCACCAAATCGGCAGCAACTATGTCACATATGTCTTCTTTGTATATGTTCCATAATTGAATTGGTGGTGATGATAATTGCGAACTGCCTTCGTATTTTTTACGCATTTGATGAAACAACTGAATCCGCAATTTAAATGCCAATGAGAACCGTTCTTCAACAAACCCAATAGTTAACATGCTTCTCGAAATGTTTGGTATTGGTGGCCATTTACAGTTTTCAAATGCGCAAATGATTTTGGTCCACGTACATTTTCCAACAGCAGTCGAAAATAAAAACATCATTTCTAGGATGAACAGCATACATGCGATCTAGTACATCAGTGGAAAACACCTGTGGCCAATCTGGAACTGGGGTTCCGTGTTTGCAACGTTGGAATTTCTTTATTGATTGATTCCAAGTGTAATACTTGATCTGCTTCACATATTGCAAAGAAGCTAGTCAATGTTGTCGATCGCGGTCTCTCAGCTCGCTGTGCCGCATTGGCCTCAGTGAAGAAACCTCCTGGCCATTTTCCAAATGGATTGCGTACAGCTATGTATCAGAGATGGCGCTGTATGTAAAAAAAGATTTTCCTGATTTTCTGTTGACATTTTTCCTGAATTTTCTTTGCTATAAACCTCACGGAGCCCGAGACCTTTCCAACGAATTCAAAACCGTCGGAAACGGTTCGTTCGTTCTGGATTTTAACTCTGAATTTAGTGATCTTGTTTATAATTATTTATTGCTCTGAATTTAATAATTTTGTTTGTAATAATACATTATTATCTTCTTTTTAGTTCGGTTATTTATAAAAGTGTGTTTTTTTTTTTGGTTTTTTAACTATTATTTATTATATAGTAGATTTATAGTTTTACATTATTCAACGATCGTCCCTATGGCAGCTAAATAAAGTATTAAGATTTTCATAAAATTTTCTTAAAATTTTTCGGGTGTTCCTATGCAGCTATATAATTTAGTCGTCCGATTTAGCCCGTTCCGACTTCTATACGAGTGAGAGTATATTAAAGACTAAATACAAAGTTTCATTTAGATAGCTTCAAAACTGAGAGACTAGTTTGCGTAGAAACGGATAGAAGGACGTTCAGAATGGAAAGTTTCCCTTATATAACTTTAAAACTGAGAGACTTGTTTGCGTAAAAACGACCAGACGGACGGACAGACGGACATGGCTAGATCGGAGATGACTCCTTCACTGCGTTGCAAACTTTTGGCTGAAATTATAATACCCTGCAAGGGTATAACAAATATCATTAGAACATAGGAGCACAGAGGGACAGACGGACGAACGGAAAGACGGATGGACAGACAGTCGCACATGACTGCAAAAGGAAAAAAAAAGAAATGAGAAAACAAAAGTTATCAAACCTAACCATACCATTATGTTATTTTTAATCGTTACAAAGTTTCTTTTATTACACCGACTTTTAAAAAATTTTACTTTTTAGGAAAGGATTTCAAGTTTTGTTTTGCTCGAATATTGCGGTTTCATATTACACGAACTCCGTTCAACCACCCATAACATCGTGAGATGTTATAAATAAATATTTAAAAGTAATTTTATGATTGTTTTAAAATTTACTTATAAAATGAGTTTATACAATAACCTGCAACATATTCTTCTCTTAGCAATTTGGCCGTAATGCTGGAGAACTTATAAAGCAAGCAGCCAAGCGACAACAGGAATTAAAAGATCCCCAATTGAGAGACGATTTAGCAGCAGCTCGCGCGATGCTTAAAAAACATTCAACCATGTTATTGACTGCGTCGAAAGTGTATGTTCGGCATCCCGAACTAGATCTGGCCAAAGTGAATCGCGATTTTATTCTGAAGCAAGTGTGCGATGCTGTCAACACTATAAGCGATGTAGCCCAAGGAAAATCTTCCCAACCGACAGATATTTACAGCGGAGCTGGAGAATTGGCTGCAGCTTTGGATGATTTTGACGTAAGTTAAATATGAAATTGAAAAAATCGCACAATTTTATTTAGTGTGTATGTGGGAATGATGGAATGATGGATCAAAGCTAATAGGTTTGATTGTCAAAAACTAATTTTTTTTTGGTATTAATCAGTCTATACCATATATAGACATGATGTTATTTAATTTTATTTTATACAAATACTTTTATCACTTCAGACTCATTGAAAATTGTAGTTTGTTGAATAAAAGTTGACATCTGAGACCATATAAGATATATATACTATATATTTGATCGGCATCAACAGCCGAATCTTTCTTTTTTATACCCTTGTAGGGTATATAATTTCAGTCAGAAGTTTGCAACGCAGTGATGGAGGCACCTCCGACCATATAAAGTATATATATTCTTTATCAGGATCAACAGCCAAGTCGATCTAGCCATGTCCGTCTGTCCGTCTGTCCTTCTGTCCTTCTGTCCGTCTGTCCTTCTGTCCGTCTGTCCGTTTCTACGCAAACTAGTCTCTCAGTTTTGAAGCTATCTGAATGAAACTTTGTAGTTAGCCTTCTATATACTCTCACTCGTATATATGTCGGAACGGGCCGGATCGGACGACTTATCCTATCGCTGCCATAGGAATGATCGGAAAATTAAAAATTTTTAACTTTTTCAGTTTTCAATAGAATTGGCTCAAAACTTATAAAGTTTTGATATTCATTGTATTAATTTCTCGATCGTCCCTATGGCAGCCATATGATATATATGTATATACACTCCTGTTCATAATTATACGACACCTATGAAATTTTTGTTTCAGCGGTCGTAGGAGAATGGAAACACACAGTAGATCAAAATAAAGTATGCCGAATAATAGGACAAGGAGTTGTGCACAAAATGCGCTATTCTTATCCTTGCTTGCATTGCTCGTTTTCAAGTAACGGTAAAAAAAGCACACACGCCCTGAATTTGTTTCAAAATGATACGACACATTTCAATTATTGCGGCTAAAGAGGAAGGTTTAGGGTTTATTGGTTTTTTTATAATTTTGTTAAATATTTTATTCATTTTTTAATAAAATGCCGCATGGTAGCTTTTTAAGCGAAGAAGAGAAGGGAAAAATTAAGGCGTATAACGAGTCTGGCTTTAATGTTAGCCAAATATCCCGGCAGATGGGTCGAACACGCTGTGTTATTACCAACTTTTTGAAAAATGTGGATGGGTACGGTGTCAGGCGTAGCTCTGGAAGAAAGCCGGAGCTATCTGATCGCGATAAACGTCGAGTACTTAACAATGCAAGCAATTCTTTTTCATCCTGTGCCTCACTTGCTGCGAGTTCCAGTCGTCCTGTGTCCCGTAGGACTATCTGACGAACATTACTAAGCTCCGAAAATATTGTAAGAGAAGTTTTTAAAAAAATTACGATATTAAAACCGCAGCCCGAAAGAGCACGACTTCAGTTTGGTTCAGAACAATTTGGAAACAAACTGGACCTCGATATGGAATTTTAACTCAATTTTGGTTATATAGGTTTTTGTCAATATTTTACATTTCGGATAATTTTTTCTGATGAGAAAAAATGTAATCTTGATGGCCCAGATGGGTTTCGTCCCTATTTGCTTGATTTGGGTAAGGATCCCCTTATGTTCCTAACATGCAATTTTGGAGGCGGATTAGTTATGGCTTGGGGAACCTTTCATGCGGTTGGTACGCTTGAACTGTGCTTTACAAGCTCAGAAATTAAAAGTCCAGACTACAAAAATTTGTTACAAGATTGTCCTCTGTCATTTTCGGATCAAAATAAGGACCAAAATTATGTTTTTATGCAGGATAATACGTCCATTCATAAAAGCAAAGAGACGCAACTGTTCCTCAATGACAATAAAATAAATGTTTTGGATTGGCCGGCTTGCTGTCCTAACCTTAATCCGATTGAAAACATCTTGGGTATCTTAGCCAGGCCAACAACAACAAATTTCAGACTGTTAAAAGTCTCAAAAATGAAATTTTAAGACAATGGTGTCTCTTGGACCAAAATATCTTAAAAAACCTTATAAATTCAATGCCTAGAAGAATTTTTGAAGTGGGATAAGCACAAGGCGCCGTTATAAACTATTAATATTTAGTTATAAACAATTAAAACAATATAATATTAGCTGTAAACAAAAATAATGAAATGTGTCGTATCATTTTGAAACAAATTCAGGGTAATCTAAATCAGGGCGTGTGTGCTTTTTTTACCGTTACTTGAAAACGAGTGATGCAAGCAAGGATAAGAATATCACATTTTGTGCACAACTTCTTGTGCTATTATTCGGCATACTTTATTTTCATCTACTGTGTGTTTCCATTCTCCTACGACCGCTGAAACAAAAATTTCATAGGTGTCGTATAATTATGAACAGGAGTGTATATATAGTGTGTATATATTTAATTTGATGCAAATCTGTTCAAAGCTGGAAAAGTATTAATATGTTTTCTGAAAAGTTTCCGCTCGTTTCTATTACAGCTTTATGATATAGTCGTCCGATCGGACTTATCTACGAGTTATAGAAGGCTTACTGCAAAGTTTCATTCAGATAGGTTTATAATTGAGAGACTACGTAGTTTGCTTTGCAATATCGACTCGGCTGTGGTTGCTGATCAATATTATGTATCCTTTATACGGTCGGAAATGTCTGCATTGCAAACGTGTGACTAAAATTATTTATTATATTATAAAAACTCCACTAAAATTTGAAGTCAGAGATGCGAGAGAAACCACAAAACTTCGATCTCGAGTTTGCAAAAAAAAAAAACAAACAAAATCGGTCTGGCTCATGTTTGCGTCAGTAGTGCCTTTTCCCCTGGATATTCCGGGAATATTTCGTCTCGGCACCTGTCTTAAGATGTTCATCGGAAATAGTTCCCTTGTCTTGTGCAAAATTTAATTAACAGAGAAATGAAATCGTAAATTTTCGCAATAAAAATTATAGCACGTAGCAATATGAACCTTTTTCAAACCAGATTTTTAAATTTTTTATTTGGGTTTTTTCATAACTTAGGGATTACACAATTTTAATTATTAAACTCTTAATCGCATATAATATTAAGTGACATAAAACGTTCTTGTTAAAAATATTAAGTTTTAGGCGTGGACGAACTATATTATTTAGTTTTCGGATGTAGGCAAACGTTTTTTTTTTTAAATATTTAGCTTTAGGGGGTGGTCAAACGCTTATATTTATTTTTAAGGGATGGGCAAATGATGGTATTTATTTAAAAGAGGTGGGAAAACTTTTTTGTAATATATAAGAATATTTAAAAGGTCGGTAAACGTTATTTATTATTGTTAATGCGTGGAGTTGCGATACCAATTGGTTAGAGTATTTTCACATACAACGATTTTCTGTTTGCAAAATACAGATAGGCTTAAATCTTAATAAAATTCGTTAAATTTTGTTCGATGGCTTCGTTTTATGTAACATTTCGTTTGGTGAAATAAAGACATTTTTTTGTTTTATATTTGAAAATGGATCCAGTTTAACTTTTCCACTTGCGCAGCACAATCCAGCCGTTTCTCAATTAAACTTTAACGAATTGCAATATCGGCATAAAGTCGTCATTGGTCCAATACCTAAAATTTCATCATCACTGTAGTTCTCAGTGGGATCATATTGGAATGCCAATCGATTGTATGATGTCAATGATTTTCGTGTCCCCACGCGTTGTCTCAATGGGGCATTTTCTCTTATATTTTGTTTTTCTTCGCTTAAGTTCAGTGAATACACTTGTTGGTGATGATGTTTGTTCGACTTCTTGATATATTGGTTTGTAGTAAATGCTATATATCAGCGATGGATTTCTTGAGTTATAAGTTATGTAACAGACACGACTTTCTTTTATATACATGAATTTGTCTCATTCAGTCACAATATCTCATGATAATCAGACGTATATTTGCCCGCTTCAACTCCATTGAGAAAACAAACTAGAAGAAAGCCAATACCAATAATTACATTTCTCAAACGTTTAGAGTACAAGTACAAATGCAAGTGCCAGGCAAACCACAAAAAAATCTACCAACCGTACTGGACGTCCTGAAATTTCCAGGCCCTCAATACCTAATCATCTTTAGATCAGACCCCGGCCTCGACCTCAACAAGGTTAACCCATTCCTCGCTTTAATATAATGCAGCTTAAAGATTTCACTTCCAACATCAACACTACCGTCACCATTCTCGTTTCTCCCATCTCCACCAAAGAAGTAATTTATTCTAACGATCTAAAATGTATCGAAGAAAGCTTAATAGTTCAAGAACCACCGGCCCAACAACTTACTGGCGTCCGAAAAATGCTCAAAAGAGCAAACGGCTCTCTTATTAATCTTAATAATTAAATGTCGATCACACAACCTTCCAGAATACTTAATGATCGACTATCAAAGAAACTTTTGTCAGGCCGTTGTTTGCCCTTAAGATGTAACAACTGCCTTAAATTCGGCCACCTACATAAGTTTTGCAAAAAACACAAAATATGTTACAACTAGATCCAGTAAAATCCCACCTCCAAAAACATCATAACAAATCATCGCTTCCATAAAAAAAAGAGACACTAAAAAACCCGAACAACACCAAAAATATTTCCGACGCATCAAGTGAGTCATGCAAAATGGATACTTATTAACAAAAAACAGATCTTATATCTAGTCTAAATGGATTCATTTAAATTAAATACAATACAATACAATTAAAATAACACAACTACCCAGGACTAGAAATCCTAAACATAGCATTCCAAGAAACCAACCTTAACAAATTAATTTCCATACCGATTTTCATAAATTTCTCCCTATACTGCAGTGACAGAACCAACGCGTTCGGAGGAACAGCGTTTCTGGTGCAATTCTCCCAATTACAAAAAAACCTTAGCGCAGACTTTACTATAAACTCCCAAACAAAAATAAAACTTAAATTTACATATAGCTCACCCTACAAAAAAATCAATCTAAGGAACTTAGGAATCATTTTAACTGCATCCTTTTCTTCTA